AGTGCTTGAGTGTTAAACAGAAACCTGAAGAACACAGGTGCTCGAGGATGTAGCTTTTAAATCCATGCCTCCAGTGTGGACACTGTGCTGTTAGAACAACAGCATGATCCATGACAAATACCAAAGTACACTGAAGAGTCCACTCCATCTAACGCAAAAAGCAATCCTTATGACATACCCACAACACCACGCTACATTACATTCTGTTCTGATGCAACTTTAGGGATGCCACATAGAGGTTATATCAGCGTGAAAGTATGAGAGAAACTTTTCCCCAAGAGGCCTGAGCCAGATTAATATGTTTCAAGATACAGGTTTGATTCATTTTCAGCTGTAGCAGACAGACCCTTGCCCTGACCCAGATGAATGTTTAAACAATCGAACCAGAACAGAAGAACAGGATGCAACTCATTCCACCTGGCTTCTAAAAGAACCAAACAGTTTTAAATTTCGAAATAAAGGGTATAGACAAATCTATTTTCAGGTTATAGAATTCTGAGGATGTAGCTCCCCTAAGTCCTAAATAAGCACAAAAATCCCGAGAGTGGGACTGGTTTTCAGACACACTTTAATTTTAGCTAGTTTAAACAACCTATGAACACTTTTTTCTGTGAAAGTTTTTAGGCAATCACCCTTACAAAGCTTTGCATAAGACTGAGACACGTAACTGTGCTAGGCATGGCAAAGGAAAGCGCCCTAGGAACCAAGTCGTTGTCAGAAGCCTCCTCAGACACAAAACTTACTGAACAGCAATACTGGCCCTTACTATTATACAACAAAGTGGTGATTTTCACAGACTAGAAACTGAATAAACTATTTCCAAGAATTGCTATAAGTCTAAGGCAGTATAAGAATTAAAAAGGATACCAACTGTTATCTCTACATAGCAATTTAGAAATGGCTTTCTAAGAAGGATACCAAAGTTATCAAAATATCAAGGTATCAAAGATATCAAAATAGTACAAAGTCTTTTGAAGCAAACTTTCAAAGTTCACCTACTGCAGCTTTGTGATTATTATATTTAGCTGCAGTTCTCAGATACACATCTGCAACTAGCCAAAGGACTAAGAACTTTCATCCCCTTTGGCTCAGTACAATCTCTCAACGTGGATGTGGCAAATGAGGTTGCAAAAATATCAGTAAACTAGTCTTCACACTTATTATCTTTGGCAAATTTCTCTTATCTTCTTGCTTATCAAGCTTTTTTCCATCGCAAGATCTTTCTGGTTTTTTGTTCCTTCCCCTTGCACCTCTTTCTTTACTATTGTCATTCATTTGTGGAGTTTCCAGTAAACCAGACTTCACACTAGTGCCACTCTTCAGTAGAAATGCTGATGACACTTTCCTTTCCAGCATTTTAATTCACTGTATTCATTTGGAAAACTATGACAGTCTCCATGTCCACAATATGTAAGTTACTAAAAATAAATGAAAGCATATTCACATCAGTAACAATTTAACATAACTATTCTAATTTTATAGGTATATAAATATATATATATTTAAAAATCATGGGTTTCTAATTGATTTTCAGGTTTTAGCAAGCCAGGTTTCATTTTCAGGCAGATTTCGAGAACATTACGTTGTATACATAGGGAATCTGTTCTAAAGTAAAAAGGATACCAACTGAATACAGGTTCCATATCTGTTTCTAGGAAGACTCCAAATTCAAAATATAGCTAGCCATACAAGAAGCCTGTATGAATAACCATTGCAGACTATTTGTCTGTGCACATTGTGCCTTTACATTTTCTAAACGTAAAGGTATGCTGCATTTTAACATCTGCTAAGCACAGGTTATTTAGGCTATTAGAACATCAGATAGTTTAATGCCACAGCTATCCAAATAAGACCATTATCATCTGTATTGCATTTGAAAAAAATTCTTATACTGTTATTCTCATATTGTCAACAAACTCCATTTCAGAACAGTAATAGACTTCAGAAGGAGACAGTCAATTAAAATGCACCACAGGCTTTATTTTAAAAGTATTTGAAACTGGAAATACTTATATTGCTTGAACTCCAACAATTTCAGTGACCTTTATGCCTCACTTGGTGTTCCCATATTGCCTTACAAATAAAGAACTGCAAACCCCTGGAACATAAATAATGTAGCACCAAGTTTGTAAGCAAGAACAACAATTCTCCTCCCCCCAAAACTGAAAGAAGTTTAAGCATCGTACTGAAAGAACTCTGCAGCACCTCTTTCAGTATATGCTAAGGAATATGCACAGATGATTTGCATCACATATAATACAGTCAATCAGAAAACCTGTGATAAGCAGCATCGCTACTTTCTCAGTTACATTCTTTTATTAATGGTACAGTGTCACAACATAAATTGAAATAGTTATTTGCACATAATACAAAAATATAACCCTTCATAAAGTTTATACTGTGCTAGGAGTCATGTATTGAACTTAAAAATCAATATACAATATTTGGTATTAAATAATGCGCAGAGATAGGTACACTCAGCCAAATGAATGCAATTACATTTTCTCTAACTTGAAGGCAAGCATGCAAAGAGCACTTTATTACTTTACTGTATACATACTTCACAGTCCAGGTGAGAGCTGTGAGCAAACTAAGTTTCTCAAGTTTTCCTCTAGCTACTGTTCTCTATCCTCAAGCATAGTGGTTTTAAAGCCAAATGATGAAATGAATTTTGGATAGTAGCATTCATTAGCAGTTACAGAATAGTGTTACTAGGACAACCAGCTTAAGGCACTACGATTTCCACAACAGACACATGAAATCACTGGCAAAAAAAAATAAAAATTAAAAGGCAGCTATGAGCTTAGCTATAATAACACAATCAATAAAGATTTATTCTTTAAATATGTTCTTGAATATGTGTTACATTGACTACCACGGCTACTATTTGTTCTTCCAGAAAAGTAAAATATAAAAGATGACCTTGACATTGTTATATACTCAAGAATGCCTCCCTCCACTGGGGAAAAAAAGTTGAAAAAAATTCTCCTGTCATTGCTCAGTTTTAAAGTGGAGGGGAAAAAAAAAAAATCACTTTCAAGAAAATTCTTGTACAGATTTCCAACATGCATACAGTAAAAGTCCATTAAATTGTTGGGAGGTTTTTTGTTTGTTTCTTTTAAAGAAAGTATTTCTGACAGCAGATAAGTTCATTTTCTTTCAATACTTTCCTACAAGGAAGGCCAAAGCATGCTGAAAATGTCCAGGCAACAGTTAGGACAAAACCCACAGTGTCTTTGGGGAGTTAAATTTATAAACAACCTTAGCAACAGAGGTAAAAATGCTGCTTATTGTAATAAGTGCTTTTATAGAAATTATTCTTTCTTCCCTCAAGAGGTATATATCCCTTCCATCTTTGCCATCAACAGGACTGATGAGCAATTCATCTGAATAATCAAGTTTCAGCTGAAGTCCTGCACAGCTACAAGGACTCCTTGACTTGCTCAAGGCCTTTTCCCAAATACCCCATGAGATTGGCTGCAAGTTAAAACATTATGAACTAGAACCCTGGCAGGCTGACAGTGCCCACCACAGAGAATTCCCATAAGGCTACCCTGACAGAGCTCTCTCAAACTCTACAGTGAAATGCAGGATCAGAATGGGATAGGACAAGGAGGAATTTCAAAAAATTGTATTGGGGTGGGGGGGAGTAGATTTGGAAGTGCACGCACACTATATATACATACGTACTATATGATTTTAACAAATATTTTCCAAATTACTATCAATTTTGACAACACACCCTCCATTTACCTGTGCAAACATTTCAGAGTGGGAAAGGCCTCAGTAACTTGTAATAAATACTCTACTAAAGTGTTGATATATTATTCCAGGAATCCCCAAAGACTTTCACTGATTTGCAGCCAGAAGTTTGGATCTTACCTGCACTTAGTGTAGAGGGTTGAAAGGATTTTCCTGTGCCTTACATGCTAACTTCAACCTTGAAGTCATTCATTTCACTGTCAGTATAGTGAACAGCCCAGAAGTTTTCCTCATCTAAGGCAGCTGCCAGCAGCAATCAAATGCAGTTGCCTTTAGTTACCTCCTCCACCTTAGGGCCCAAAGAGCAGAAATATTGTTACACTGGTTCTGCACCCTTTAAGCCTGAACTTGTGCAGTGCACCAACTTTCTCCCTGTCATTCACTTCCTGAGCTTCAGTGAAACGCTTGCTCAGAAGGCAACTACACAGGTTACGTGTTGTGATATGCACAGTCAACTAGGCAGAACTACCTGTACCACATTCCAGTAACTCGATGAGTAACAGTCATTTCCTCTATTTCTATTAAAATTACAATAATTTCAATTTAAATGACAGCTACAACCATGACAGCTGTATAGCATATCAAAAATAGGAACTATAGTGAACTATTCTTATTAGTGTCACCTAATCTTCCCACACCACAGGTAAATTTTTGACTCAGTCAATACAAAAATTTTCTAAGTTGCTACCTATAATCCAGATTAAGAATGAAATAAAATTGGCAAAAGAGTTTGGAATAACATTCTCTGTCTGAAAAACTGACAGTCTTCATTGAAGTATTTAACTCTCCACACCTTAGGGGCAGAAGAGGTCACAACTAACTTTGGTCTTCTTCCACACGTGCTAAGATCTCTAAATGATTGGTAACATTTGGATTCACAATTTTTCTGTAAAGACCTAAAATAGCCTTCTACTCCTTTTGCATGACTGGTTAAATGATCAAGCTACACAAACAAACTTAAATCATCTTGTGTGGTTTTAGTCTTCAGTTCCAATCACAACTACCTAAACATGTTGTTGCAGGATAACCCTGGTAGGCAGCTAAACATCATACAGCCACTAGCTCACTTCCCCCACACCTCCCCCAGTGGGACAGGGAAAGAAGAATGGAAGAATAAAAGCAGGAAATCTTGTGGGTCAAGATAAAAATAGATTAACAAGCGAAGCAGAAGTGGAAGGAAAAAAGAAAACAAAACAAGTGATGCAAAAGCAATCACTCACCAGATACCCAGCCAATTCCCAAACAAAAGATGGCCAACCTCCCTAAAGCCCCTCCTCTCCATTTTATTGCTCAGCATGACCATTAGATGGCATGGAGTATCTCTGGTTAGTTCAGGTCACTTGTCCGGTTGTGTCCCCTCCCAGCCTCTTGCACAGCCCCAATATATTCACTGCGGGAGCAGAGTAAGAAACAGAGAAGGCCATGATTCTGTGCAAGGAGGAATAGCTAAAACATTAGTGCGTTATGTTCATTGTTTTGGTCACAAATCTAAAACACAGCACCATATGAGCTGCTATGAAGAAAATTAACTCCATCCCAGAGTTGATGGAGAGCCAGTACACATGCATACGTCATATATCGAATGATACATGATACATAGTAGTGCACAGAAAAGCGCTCCATGAGATGAAAAAACCCCACATGGTTTTGTTTAGTGGTTTATTGTTTTGCCTTCTGGCAGATGAAAGAAGTTGTCCTCTTTTGAGTTTAAGATGTTCTGGTAAATCTAGCTGTCTTTTTGCCTCTACAGTGTCTTCTTGAATTGCTGAAATGAGCGCGTCTGCAAAAGAGAAGTAAGAAAAACAATATTTAAAAGCTAGTCTGAATTTTGAACACACAATAGCAAGTGAAAAAGGGTGTACTACAAAACACCAGAAAACAATCACACAGAACGTATTTAGTATGAAGTTGGAAAGGCAACTAAATGTCTAAAATGACATGCTTTTGACATGCGTTGCACTTTTTACTGCTGTAAACACTACTTTTTCCTTGTTCCAAGACATTTTATCAAAAAAGTCAACAGAATTTCATTAACTGTTTCAGTTTTAATATAGATGCATTTTTAAAAGAAACGGACAGACTAGACCAAGGCTTTTACAACAAGCTGATGATTTTCAAGCTACTCCTCAGACAACTGACACGACAATATAATTTTTAGACTGAAATAACTAACTACTAATAGCCTGGAAGCTGTGGGGTTTTGATTTTTTTAATATTACCAATATATATGTAAGTAGATTCAGCTGGAAAAAACATTTTACTGAGAAGTCAAAGGTAAGACAGAATCATAGAATATCTCAAGTTGGAAGGGAACCATACAGATCATTGAGTCCAACTCCCTGGTCCTCGCAGGACTACCTGAAACTAAACCATATGACTAAGAGCATCATCCAGGCTCTCCTTGAACTCTGACAGGCTTTGTGCCGTGACCACTTCCCTTGGGAGCCTGTTCCAGTGACCGACCACCCTCTCAGTGAAGAACCTTTTCCTAATGTCCAGTCTGAACTCCCCCTGACGCAGCTCCTTTCCATTTCCTCGTGTCCTATCGCTGGTCACCAGAGAGAGGAGATCAGCACCTCCCCCTCTGCTGCCACCCTTGAGGAAGGTGTAGACTGTGATGAGGTCAGCCCTCAGCCTTCTCTTCTCCCAGCTGAACAAGCCAAGTGACCACAGCTGCTCCTTGTAAGTCTTGCCCTTAAGGCCCTTCACCATCTTGGTTGCCATTCTCTGGACACACTCTAATAGTTTGATGTCCTTCTTATATTGAGGTGCCCAAAACTGCACACAGTACTCGAGGTGGGGCCGCACCAGTGCAGTGTAGAGTAGGACAATCACCTCCCTCGACCGGCTAGCTACGCTGTGCTTGATGCACCCCAGGACACAGTTGGCCCTTTTGGCTGCCAAGCCACACTGTTGACTCATACTCAACTTGCCACCAACCCAAACCCCCAGATCTCTTTCTGTGGGGCTGCTCTCCAGCCTCTCGTCCCCAAATTTGTACATATAACCGGGATTATCCCGTCCCAGATGCAGAATCCAGCACTTGCTCTTGTTAAATTTCATGTGGTTGGTGATTGCCCAGCTCTCTGTAGCCCATCCAAATCTCTCCGTAAGGCCTCTCTACCCTTGAGAAACAGCTACATGAAACAGCTGATTACAAGAAACAGCTACCCTACATGAAACAGCTGATTATGAAGACAGAGAGAGAGCAATGTTCTTTCAATATGCAAGAACATGGCAAATAAAACATCAGTTTAAGAGACCTGCAATACTGACCTAAAGAACTGAAGTTTTTTTCTGGTCGAATATATCCAATAATGACCATACTAAGAATCTCTCCATAAAAGTCGTCCTTGAAAGTCTGGATAACGTGTGTTTCCTAAAAGAAGAGAAATACATTAACAATTATCATGATGCATTTTTAGTTTATTTCCGTTGTTGCAAGGATGTTCAGCTAATACCTCTAATTCAAATTGTCTCCCACACATATCAGGAAAACTGAGAGAATCTAACATGTATAATGCAAGATTAAGAGGCTAGAGCTTTTGACTATGTTAGTAGGGAGAATTGTACTTTGCATGGCATTTAAGAACATTCTGATATTTATTTCAGAGGTAAGATTTTCAAGGCAGAAAATCACAAATAATGCCTAGATTTGATCATTGAGTTCCTGAGTCCAAATAACTGTAATGAATTTCATTGAAACAGCTGCTTTAAAGAGAGCTTTACAAGTAACTCACAGGAACCGAATGATAAAATTCTAAAAAGAGTAAAGGCAGCTATCTTCAAAGCAGGGATTCATGTCAAAATAAAACGGCTTCCAAGTATTAGCAATTAAAACGAAGTTCTACAAGACTCAGGAAAAGCACCAGCACCTCACAGCAAGAAAAAAATAGATGCCACAGTTCAGGATTTTAACTCTGCCCTGTTACTGTGTAGTTTTGGATCTTGATTCTGTATATCAAGCCACAGCACCACATGTATGGATTCCACCATTTAAGAGAAGAATTACCGGAAAATCATTACAAATTAAGATGCCCCAGAACCTCGTACTTTAAACGTGGAAGGATTGCAAAGGATGAGAGATTAGTATGTTCCAGCTCACTCTAAGGGTCTCATAACCACTAAACTGAATACATCTATTAAGCTTATATTTATCTAGCTATCAGCACAATAAGCAAAAACCACTTTGGAAATATGAATTTTTATTTCATAAGTTTTCAAGTAATGGTGGAAAAGGCAAATGAAAATAAATTCTATTTATCTAAAGCTGCATGCTCTACGGCTCCTGAGGGGTTTTGGGGATTTGGGTTTTTTCCTCCCCAGAATACAAACATTTGAGATGGATACCAAATACATTTCTAAGAGCAAATGGAATTTCTAATCTGATTTACAGATCAAATTTTGCTTACCTTATTCAAAGTCAATGTCTGGCTCATTTATTATAATCAAAGTACCACACAAGGCAAAATTCTGACCACTGATTTCTTAATATTCTTATAGAAAGGATTCTATCCTATGCTCAAAACCATTTTATGCACATCTCCATTTCCAACACAGGCCCATCCATAGTATATACCAGTAGAGATACTGGACGGAAAGCTTTCGACTACTTCCTCAGAAAAGTTAGCTGCAAAAAATTTAGAAAGCGTACATTTGTGTAACTAAAGCGCATCACAGAATTTTCAAACACCTAAAAGCCAAGCCCTGTCTACATGCTATTTACAAGCAGAACACTGATGATGATAGTGATACAATGTGCCACTTGCAAAGCATAAACCACAAAACAGCCTCATAAAATGGAGTCTCTGTGGTAATACCAGAGTTACCACATCTCCTACACATACTGTTTCATAGCTATATAAATACTATTCTATTCTATAGTTAAAGTTAATTCTATAGTTAATAAACTAAAATACGCAGTCTGAATGCATTTCACTATTAGGACTATCACTGCTTTAGCATGGTCAAAGAACAGAAAAATCGAGTTTCTTTTGCACTGTGAAGTAGCATCTTAGAATTACTTCAGTAATTTTGTTTTTACTGAGTAAAATATGTTAAAATAAATTACTATTTTAGTCACCTGCCAATTTTTTCATGTTGCCTTTTAGGTTATTCATATTTGGGGATTTCTACGATTTTCTTAGAAAACTACAAATCTGAAATAAAATAGGTTCCTTTCTGACTGAGGGGAATAAATCTAAGCCTTTAGCCAAACAACTGTCCTACTTTAACTTCACACATGGGTAGAGCTCTTCATGCAAGGTTCAAGCCTATTTTAAAGAATTTACAGCTAGTGGACGTCTATCCCAGTTCATAAGCAGAACAAACTTCCCTCCCACATTCCCTGATACTAATAAGCCATATATAAACAATCAAGAGGAAAAAACCTAAGTTTATATTAACATGTTGTCACGTGTCCAGTACCTCAAGATTTGTTATAGGAGGTTTTCTTGCCTATTAGGATTTGCGTAGAATGCCTGCTGACTTCAGCCTATCTTTAGAAAAGACTGAAATCCATTTGAATTACACTTCTATCTGTATTCAGACAAGTCAAACAGAGAACGGCAATGGGAAAATATACTTCTCTTTAGGACAGCTCAGCTGTACTTGCTCTGCTTTTTAATCTCAGCATTATTCCCTTTACATTTCCTCCCTTAAAGCTACTCCCAGTGCCCACTCCCTTTCTTGTCCTAATCTGAGGTCTAACAAGTTTATAATAACTGACATTTTTCAGACTGCCTTATCACACCACCAGGCACAGCGCATATGATCACTTTGCAGCATCCTGCAAATCATCACGATCATCATCAGATGAGCTAACTAACAAAAAAGCAAACAGAAAGAAATCATTTAACAGAAGGCTGGAAAATAGCACAAATGAGTGAACAAGACCATAAGCAATATGAAAAAAATAAAAGTCACCCAAAAACCTGACACGGAACAAGCTAAGCCTATTTAGAGAGAGAGCAAGTCATGCCAATAGCGCAACTGTGCGGGACAGCGGGCGCCTCCCGAGTTCAAACGAGCTTAGTCGCCAGCAACCGAATTCCCACACCCCTACCCGGCAGGAGAACC